CGAGGAGAGGGCCCTTCTGATTGTGCCGCCCGCTCTGCTTGGCCAGGGCTCCTTTCCTTCAGTGCTCCCGACTGACACCCTGGCTGGCAAGTTGCCGACATCCTCACGCCTCTCATTCATTCCTGACCTCTCAACCTCCTCTGCCACAGGCAGCAAAACAGCCGCCTTCCCTGGGCTGCGAATCCCCACAGGTTAGCATTTGGTGTGCTCTCAAGCTCCCTTGTGGGGCTCTTTTGAGGGCGTAACTGAATGAACCCCTTGACTCATATCATGCATGCAGGTGACAGACATGAGTGCACACAGGGGTCCGGCTGGCCTGCATGCCAGGGAACTCAGCCATGCAGGGGGGCCACCAGCTGGGGGGTAGGGTGGGGGTGGGGTGGTGCTGTGTCCCTAGTGGGAAGTTGTGGCCTGAAGGCAGTTGTGCACACGGTCCGTGCACTAGGGGTGGCCTTGGGCCCCTCTGCAGGGCTTCAGGCCTGGTATGTGTGTGCAGGTGTGTTCACACATCTCATGCTGAGTTCTTCCTTCCCCAGCCAGCCCCCCACTCTCCCTCAGCACTGGAGGGGCCCGTGCTGCTGGGCGTGGGCTTCGATCGGGCGCATGGATGCAGCAGGCAGCCCCCACTCTCCCTGGGTGTGCCCTGTCTGAGATGTCCTTGGGATCCTTGGCGCTGTTCTTGTGTCTCATGTTGCTTTCTCTGTGACCTATAGGCTCCCAAGGGTGGGAACGTGGCACTGCCTTGTCCTGTGTACCCCTGTCCCTGTCCTTTCCCAGACTCCCGACTGTGCCTGGGTGGTTTGGTCGCTGTCCTTCCTGGCATGACACACTGTTTAGTTTGGACTGTCAGCAGGTCTGTTTTGGAGAACTGTGTCATCTGTTGGATGCCAGCCTCAAGTGTGTTACCCTGCGTGACCCCAAATGCCAGTGTGGTACAGGGCACCTGTGAAACCCTGCCCCTGGCCACGAGTGGGACACATATGAGAGAGACGGGCAGCATGACACCGGTGTGTGCCTCACATCCGAGAGGCCTGTTGGATATGCACACCTGGCTGTGTGTTGAAGTGGGGGTGCTGGTGCTCCTGCCTGCATTTGCTTGAGCCCTGTGCTCGGCCCTGTGCGAGGCCCCTTCCACCTCAGCTGTATAAACAAAGCCCCTGCCTTCCTTCTGAGGCCCCTCAGGGCTGTCAGCTGTCCCCACCCCCTATCCTCCAGCAGTGAGTTTGACTGACTGTGTGGGGTCACAGAGTTGTGAGATTAAAAGAGTGGATGTGAACCTAACTGTGTGAAGTTGTGTGGGAGTGTGACCATGAAGCCCAAGTGTCCCCTGCAACTCCAGCTTCTCACACGCAGGTTGGGGACCTCAGGCCAGTTTCCTGGACCCATCCAACCCTCCTTTTACAGCCTGGCTGGGTGGCGACAGTCCTGTAATTACCCTGGGCCAAATGCTGCGGTGAGGACTGTGGAGTGTGGGCTGACCCTTGGGGGAGGGGCTGTCCCTGTCCCCAACAGGCCAAGCCAGACCAGGGGGGGATGAGGGGCGGAGGGGGGGGGAACCCCAGGGTTAGGTCAATGCTGCACTGTGGGTTCTGGATGAGCAGATCCCTGCTCTGGCCTGGGTGTCTGACCCTCTGGCTGACCTCACCCCGTCCTGACTGGATTCAGTGTTACTCTTCCCATCTGCATCCTGCTATCTCTCTCCTGGGTCCTCCATGCCAGCCTGGCACCCTGACCCCGCTCATGTCCCTCACTCCTTCCATGTCTTCCCGTCCCCTCCGCGTCCATGACTCCTGTGTTCCCTGCAGTCCTTCTGAGCACCACACCCAGTGCACACCCCCAGCCTGGCCTGGCTCACCAGCTGGACAGTGAGGGAGAATGGGTGAGGTTTGGGGACTGAGAGCTCTGGGCCCAGCCGTATGTATAGGCCCAGGTCTGTTCCTCAACCGGAGAGCAGCTAGAACTGGGGGGAGTGGGAAAAGGGAAGGGGCAGGAGAAAGTCATAAAAGGAGTGAATGGGGTCCTAGTGGGCTCTGCCGCAGATTTGTACACAGAGAATTCTGCAGCGCAGCACCCTACTCCCACAATGGCCAACACCAGCTCTCACACTTTGAGGACCACAAACTCTTCCCAAGTCGGCTCACACATTCGGCGCCTGGCTGGTGCTGCCACCTGGTGGACATGGTGTCCACCTGCAGGTCCAGAGCGGCCAACCCAGCAGGCTGGAGGAAGGCCAAGTCTGAGGCAAAGGCCTGCTCCCCCAACTCGGTCCCAGGCGCCCAGAGAAGAGGGCATGGCCGCTCCAAATCTCATTCTCAAGCCCAAGGCTGGGAACAGTGTTTGTTGTGGCCATTGTTTATCTCCCCAGAAGGACAGCAATGTGAAGGCTGGTGTAAATTTTGGGAGATTGACCTGGGAGAACCCTGGTGGATCCTGGCCATAGATGGAGCCCTCTTGATGCCCTCTCTGAGGTGCGCAGATGAGGCAGAGGAAGGCATGAGGCCCGCTCCTTGTGGGCAGGTGCTGGCCTGGAGCTGGCCTTCTGGAGCTGCTGGTGCCTCTCCGACTCACACTTTCCTCACCTCAAGGCCCATGCCTTGGGGTGTGGATGGTGAGGAGCAGAATGTCCTGAGCCTGGGCACCACCTGGCTGTGAGGGCAGATTGAAAGGGCACCTGGGTGCTGGGGTAAGGCAGCTGCAAGCAGACACTCAGGCTCTAGCAGCTGCTGCCTCATCGCTGTTCTTCCCACCATCCCCTACTTTCTGGTTCAGTCCCACTCCTGAGCTCCTCTGGTTTGATGCAGCCATAACCTGTCTGTCCTTGGTCCCTAGGTACTGGGTCTCCGTCCTTCCCTCCCACCAGCCCTAGCCCTGGGGCCTGTTGCTGTACCCTCTTGCTGTACTCTCTCGGTCAGGACACCTTGGGCTGTGTGAGCTTTCGTGTTGAAAGCTGTGGGTCACTGGTCTGTCGCTCTCACCCAGTGACCCTACTTGGGCACCAAGGCTCTGCCTGAGGGGCTGTGCAGCAGGATCCCAGCTTCTAGGAAATGGGATGGAATCCTTGGGGGAATGGTCCTTCCTTCTTGCCCCAGCTGTGGGGGTAAAGAGGTTTCAAGTATCAGCTTTCAATTCCCAGGAAGATGCCTTCTGGGGGATCACAATATGAGAGAAGATAAGATGGGGGCTCAGGACCCGTCCTGGCTCTGCTGTGGACACCCAGATGGCTGTATGTGAGTCACTTGTCTCACTGGGCCTCAGCTGTCCCATTTGCAAATAAGGGGTTCAGATTGGCTCACTTAGTCCAAGGCTGAAAAACTCCAAAGGAGGAAGGGGTAACAGGCTGTGAGCATGAGAGGAGGCAGCAGGAATTTTGGGAAAGGATTCCATGTGCTACAGATTTCAGCAACAGCCAGACCCACCTTTTGTTCTTGTTCATGCAGCTCTGGGGATCGAACTCAGGGCCTCGCTGTATGCTAGGCAAGTGCTTCACCCGCAGGCCTTAGCCCACCTTGTATGCCAGCCATGTCACTTGCCTGGCTCACCTTAAAGTGTTCTTTGTAGAAAGGAGGGTTCCGAGGGTGCAATGCTCAGCCTGTCTCTAAATGTCAGGCCCTTTCACAGTCTTATAATTCCTGGGTTTTTGAAACCACAAAGCCTTTCCAGCACAGCCTAGCCCTTAGCCTTAGTCTAGCTGGCCTTAGAATTCCAGGAAGCCTACCATGTGGACCTGCTACTTTGCCTCCCTGCTGGGAGAAATCCCCACTTCCCAGCCTTCGAGATCTTCGAGCTCCTCAGAGGGTCCCCAGTCTGGTCTGTGTCCCTCCTTCCTGAAGCCATCTCCTTCTGTCCCTAAGCAAGAGTGAGGCTCTGGTCTCTTGCTGCTGTTACCCAATATTTAACTGTGTTAAGAGCTGGATATATTGCTGTGTGTGTGTGTGTGTGTGTGTGTGTGTGTGTGTGTGTGTGATTGTCACTCACACATCAGCACTTGCTGAGTTAGGAACATATCTGAGGGCAGATGCTGTGTCTTCGCTATCCCCAGACCCCTTAATAGAGCCTGGCACTTGGCAGGCAGACGCCCAGTGGACATCAGCAGGAGCTGCAGGAGCCACCTTCTCCATCCCATCTCCCACCAGGCTGCCTCGGCCCAGGCCACTGGCTGCCCTGCTTCTTTTCTCACCTGCCCTCTGTCCCCTTCATCCTCCACCTGATTCAGCCTTCTGTCCCTGCGCTGCCCTGATTGGTGCAGGATACTGTAGTTAGGACCGGGTCTGGCCTCAGCAATGGCCACAGTGTTTCTAAATGAACAAAACTAGAAGGGGCAATAGAGGAAGTTGATTCTATTGAAACAGTTAGCAAAACAGTCAGTTTCTGGTATAATAATATATACGTTTCTTTATTGACACATTAAGAACATGAAAGGTCTAACAACTATGATCATTTCAAAGTAGTGATGAACATAATTTCTGAACTAACTATCTTTGACGACACTAATGCAGTCTGAAAACATCTGTAATTTCTGTTGGTTACAAAGTCACAGGTACTGTTAATACTTTTGTGGCTTGTTGTCCAACCACACTTAAAACTTCTTAAATTTGTTATAGGGGAGTGAAAAATAAAGATGTAGTTTTCTTCCTATCTAGGTTCACAAATCCTCAGAAATCCATAGACCCCAGCCAAGAACCTCTGGTTTATGTGAAAGGAGAAAAGAACACCCTCAGCAATTGACGCTTTCACTCCCAAGTCATTTAACCCTCATGCCAACCCTGAGAATATACATCACAGCCCAGTATTCTGATGGCGTGTAAAGCCCAGAGAGGTGCCCAAAGTCAACCAGGCCCTGCATGGAGCCACACAGAGCCTCTCTGCAAGGGGACAAGCCCCAGAACAGGGCCTGTAGTAGTCACTCTGGCCCAGAATCCCCCAAAACCCAGACCCCAGGCCCTAAGGGGCTGCTCAGTGAATGCAGGGCTACGGCCCCTCAAAATCGCACACACTCAGGCATTTTTATCTCCAGTTTATTTTTTTTTAGACTAAGAGCAGAGTATGAAAGTCACAGCCAAAGCACTTGAAAAAGGCCCAGGATGGGTGGGACCGACAGGGTGGGCAGGGCAGGTCCTGGGAGGTGGGTCCCGAGCACGGCTGGAAGGGAGGGGCATTGTTGTCTCACGTCTCCAAAAGTGTCTGTGCGTTGCATAGGTCCTGTCTTCACAGAAGACAAAAGAGGGGCCAGGGGGTCCCCCAGGGGGCCTAGCCTGGTGGGGAGGGGTCTAAAGCTGGAAGGGGAAGTCAAGAAAGGTCGGGATTAAGGAGGGAGAGGGACTCTGTCTGTCTGTACATTATATATAGAGATATAGAGTCTGTACATGCCTGCCTGGCACCCCAATGCCCACCCCCTTGCCATCCCTGTCCACTGCCTGCCTCCCCAGGGGTGTCTACTTGTAAACTTGGATTTAATCCAAACCATAATCCTGCAAGAGGGAGGGGGAAGAGGACGTGCTTATTGCTGTAAACAGGGGAAGGGGACGGCAGGTGGTGTTGCCCCCCCTTCCCAGCTCTCTCCCCATGCTCTGCCCCAGGAGGAGGGTGACCTGACACCGGCCCGTTCAGCTTGCTGTCTCTGGGGCACATCTGTCTCTCTGAGGGGACAGTGGGGGAGGGCAACAGGGGCAGGAAGAGGTACGAGGGGGCAGGGAGTCCTGAGCACTTCCCTTCGTGGCCCCCGGTTTGGTACCAAACATTCCCAGAAGCACAAGGCTGCCTGGGACCTTGGCTGTCCCCGTGCCTGAGCCACTGTGGTGCCCTTACTGGAGGGGCAGATGGGGCAGGCACAGATGTGTGTGCAGACCCCACTTTCAGCCGTGGAGAAGGGTAGAGGCCCTACAGCTAGGCGCCTGTGGAGAGCCCACGGCTCCCTGCCCCTTGTTGGCCCCACCCATCTCTCTCTGCCTAGCAGGGGGCAGAGCTAGGAGGCCAAGAGCGTCAAGAGAAAGAAGGCGATGCCCACGGCCAGGGGCAGGTGTTCCCGCTTGGGGCTGGTCCCGCTGATGCTCTTCTCCAGCTTGGGTACCCGGGGGCTCTCTCCCTCGAAGTCTTCTGCGGACAGATGAACAGACAGACTGGTGAGGGCTGGGCTGCGCGCCGGAGCAGGGGCACGCGGCAGCGGCAGCAGCAGTGGAGCCGGGGACTTGGCCACACATGGGGCCAAGGAGGACCGGTGTCCCAGGAAGGCATGCGAAATGAGCAGGCACCAGGAAAGGGCTGCGGTCCCAGCAGCGGCCACAGAGGGCGCTGCGCAGACTCACCCAGCACGTTGATCTTCACATTGGGGCCCATGGTGAACTGGGGGAGGGTGGGGACCGGCTTCTCCCCGGAGTGCGATGCTGCGGGGTCGGGTGCGGGTGGGGAGAGAGGAGGGGGAGAGTCAGGGCCAGGACCCCCTTCCCCTACTACAGCCGGGGAGCAAGCTCCCCTCGCCTACACCCTCCACCCCCACCCCCAGGAAGCCAGGGGAGCCCCAAAGCAGGGGAGCCAAAAATGGGGCGCGGTGGGAGCCGACGACACTCACTGGAGGCGCAGCAGACGAACACCTTCATCCTTAGACACTTCCAGTGCAGGTTGTGGGTTGGCGTGGCTGGGGAGGAGACGGGCCCTGAGTGGTCGGCGCCCCATTTGTGCCCAGCGCCTGTCCTCGCCCGCCGCCAGCTGCCCCTTTGCACACTGGTCCTTATGGCTGTGCTGTCCTCCCTGGGAGCCCCGCACTCCCAACCCTCCAGAGCCAGTGCTATAGAATGTGCACAGAAACTCGGCGGCCCAGACTTGGGACTGTCACCCAAGCCCTCTCAGCATCATCTCGTCTGATCCGGAGTCCCGAGGCCCTCGACCCTCGCCTCTCGCCTCGTCCAGGTCCTCACTGTTCGCTACAGAGGGGCCCCCAGCCCCACCACCTGCTCTGACCTGGGCCCGCACCCCACCCGCACTCACAGATGTAGTAGTACTCGTGGCCAGCGTGGAACTCGTAGCCCAGCGAGAAGGCGCTGTAGCGCTGGAACTTCTCGGAGAACTTGATGGGGCTGTGCGGGGCGTGCGGCCGGTTGCACTCCCAGCGCTTGAAGCCCTGGCTGGCGTTGCAGGTGCGGTAGCCGCTGCGGCTCACCATGTACAGCACGTATTGCTCTGCCCCGCCGCCCGGCCCGGGCCCCGCCCCAGGTCCCGCTCCCGAGCTGTTGTAGTGCGGGCAGTAGATGTCCAGATAGTCGTTCACGTTCACTTGCACCGTGTAGCCCTCGCGCCTCAGGCTGGAGGAGAGCAAGCGGGTCAGGGAAAAACAAAACAAAAAACAACCCAGAGTCAGCCTGTTTTTCGCGCCGCCGCGGTGCAAACCGGCCCCGGAGCTTCCCGACTTGCCCTCCCCACTCTTCCCAGCCTGTCTGCGCTCAGGACTCTGCTGCTGCCTGTCCGCTGTGTCTGAGTCCTCCTTGCCTTCCGGGGCTGGCTTCCTACCGGTAGCCACCAGAGGGCAGCAGAGGTGCGGGGAAGCCCAACGCCTCCAAAGGAGCCGCGGCAGAGCGAGGGGCGGGGAAAGAAGGGAACTTACGCTTCGGTTGCCACAGAAACGGCGCAGGCCCCAGCGACTCCCAGACCCGGGCCCAGACTTCCTCCGTCCAATCCCCATAATGCGCCAGCCGGGATGAGAGACCGAGGGAATGGCAGTGAAGCGGGAAGACAGAGGAGTGTCTTCCATGGGACACACACCCTCCCTCCACCGCTTTCTAGCGTGCTTTCCTGCCAGTGCAGCCCAAGGCCAGTCCAACAAGACCTGCCCTCCCAGACGCGAGTGGTGCTTCATGCATACACATGCACAGGTTCCATGGTGCGCACACACAAATGTCCACCGCCCACTCAAGGCGCATACCCGGAGAGGCGAGGCTGCACTTGTGCCCAGCCGCTTGCCAGGCCAGTATTGGCTGCCCAAGCAATCTCAGGGTCCCTGGGATCGCGCCACATAGCAGTACTACTGGTCTCTGTACCGTGAGTCCCACTTACCTTGCCCTGGGGTCAGGGACCACAAGGTCCCCAATACGACAGAGCAGAGGGCCGAGGGAATCGGCAGCAAGCCCCCTGCAACATGGTTGTCTCATCACATGCCTCCCTCCTCCACCTGGGGGGCACTGCCCCATGATCACGCTTGCCAGTGTTAAGGGGCACAGTACCCAGACACGATGGCTGTGCCTCTCAACCTCTCTCTCATCCCTCTCTGGGACAGAGCAGCAGATGCTGGGTCCCTCACCCCCACCTGCCTTGCTAGTTACCATCAAAGAAAGTGCTGGTCTGAATACCCTCGGTGGTGGTAGAGAGGGGTGTAGGTATGGGAGTCAGAGATTTGAGGAGCGTTTCTTACCCTACCCTCCTGGGTAAGAATGCACACACGTGGACAGTGAGGAGGATGGTGGTCATGGGTAGCTGGCAAAATGTCAAACCACTGAGGTCCCTAATTCCTGGGAGCTGGGGTGAGAGGCTGGCTGTCCTTGTCACCAGACAGCACCCAGTTTTATAAGCAGTAATTAGACCCATTAGCAAGATGAACGTGGAGGTCTCTGCCTCCTCCCCTGCCTTACTCTACTTCTCGAGCTTTACCTGTGCTGCCCCCTTCCCAAGTACCCCTTCCAAGACTGGCAGTGAGGCAAATGAGTAGGAGCTGGTTTGGGGAACCCAGAAAGATGGGCACAGCCCCCTTGAGTCATCAGGCATGCCAGCAGTCCCACTTGGTTCCCATGGGAGTGACGGGTCACTCGGGCCCCTCCCTGGCCCTGGCACCCAGGTGGGCAGGAGTCTCAGCCTGGGGCACTGGGAGCTGGAAAACGGGTTAGACCAGGCCTGACTCCCAGCCACCACCCCAGCATTGCCTGTCCATCCCAACCCTGTATTCTCCAGTTCCACCCTCAGGCTTTGGGGAGGGGGCTGCCAGCATTATGGTGACAAGCCTGGAGCAGACGCACAGACATTCTGTGACCTCTGTCCTGGAGTCTGGCCCATGATTCCAGCCCCATTCTGAAGCAGCCTCTCCCTATGCGCCACCCAGGTCCTCCTACCACATACCCCATTCCTGTAGGGAGCAGACCAGCTTCAGAGATTCCTACAGGTATCTGAGCTCCCTCAACGGGGTGGGACCAGCCTTATAAAAAGGTGACTGAATGACCATAAGGAAAGAGAAGCCACTTCTTGCTGATTCCTGTGCTCCTGGCAGAAAAAGCCCCCGAAACGCACCCTGAAGCTGGGTGTGTTGGAGGAAGACCTCCTTGGAGGGGTGGCTGTGTCCACTGGCATGGGGTGGACAGGGGTCAGAAGGGCTGGGTGCCAGAAGTGCTAGCCACAACTCCTAGGAGACCCGACCTGTCTGGTCGGCTCAGGCCCTTTCATTGAATCTTCCCCCGCAGGGTAGCAGGAGGTGCCCTAGGCTTCTTGCAGCCTGCCTGCCCAGCTGCACCTCCGAGGCGGTGGGCTGGGCTGGGCTCTGCCCCTCAGACATCTCTCTGCTCCTCCTCTTCTTGCCTCTCACCTTTGCGCAGAAAGGCTAGCATCAGCACACCTGTTCAGAGTGCGCCCCTCGCCCATCACCCCGTTATTTCAGTCTCTCCTGGGTCGCACCGCCCCAGGAGCGTCCCGACCCCTTTCTTACTGCTCACTCTGAGTGCAGAGAGGAGAGGATGCGCGACTCAGGAGCAGGGAAGGCGCAAACTTCTCCCCCCGGGGCAATTAGGGGACGGTAAACAGGGTGTCTAACAGGACTAGGGAGTAGGGAAAGGATCCCAAGCGGCCGAGCACTTGCTAAATCCCAGCCCCCGCCTTAGACGCCGGATGAAGAGTTACGGGAGCGGAGGAGGGCTGTGAGGAGACCGGTTCTTCCCTCCAGCGCGCGTCCCCGAGGCTGCGCGCCACCCGCCCGAGCCGGCGAGGCCAGGCCACGTGTGCGCGGCGTGGGGACCGCGCGCCAGGGCTTCGGGTGGCGGTGGCGGTGGCGGGGACCGTCCGGGCGGCGCGTGCACGCGGACACCCCGTGCCCCTCTGAGCCCTCGGCCTCGGCGCCCCGCCGGCCCCAGCCCCGTCAGCCCCTTGAGGGGCCGGGGTCTTCCCCAGCCCGCAGGGTCGCGCGGTGAGAAACGGCGCGCCCGATACCCCCGCCCCTCGCCCCTGCGACAGCGGCGGCGGCGGCGAAGGTTTATTGATCTGCAGCGGCGGAGAGGAGCGAGAGACCAGCCGAAGGCGAGACGCGCAGAGATGGGATGGAGAGACCCAGATCGGGGAGGTGAACCGAGGCCGGAGTCCCTGCGAGAGGCAGAGGAAGCCAGAGACCTGGAGAAGGAGGGAGAGCACGGGAACAGAGCCCGGGAACCTGGAGACCTAGAGTCCGACCCAGAGGCCCACGGATAGCAGGGGACAGAGACGCCAAGGAGAAGGGAGGGACACGGAGGGCGCAGAGCTCGCCGACTGGGAGAGAACAGAGGCAAAGACCACCAGGGATGCAGTGGAGCCTCAGCAAAGATTTGTTGAATGAATGTTTGAATGAAAGCCATCAGCAACAGAAACATTTCAGAGGTAGAGGCAGGTAGGGAGACAGATAAAGATATTCCCGAGGCTCCTGGAGACAGGGGCGAGTGCCAACACCTTTGCCCGGTCCTGCAAAGAAATGAAGCACAGGCAGGGGCAGGCATCTGACCATCAGTCCCCACCCCATTCAATTTCAGGCTCAGGGGACTCCTCGCCCTCACACTTTCAGGCTTTCCTCCGTCACAGTCCTCCCATTCCTAGTTTCTGGGCCAGGTTGGGCGCAGGCCTTGCCTACTCCAGGAGAGTACACAGAAGGGCCGAGTGGGGGGCCAGAGCTAGATCGCCGCCCTGGCGCGGGGACCTGCCCGGGGTCTGTCAAAGGAGGCTACCGCACGTGTCCCACCAACACTCTCCCACGTGACCCCCTGGGGGTGGGGTCCTAAGAACCCCCCAGGACCCCGGGGGCAGAGACCCTCCGCACGTGACGGGAGGTGCGAGCCCGGAGCCCAGCTCACGTGACTGGGGGGAGGGGCACGGAAGCCTGTAGCAGGCCGGGCCCCGCCCCCAGCTCCCCGGCCCTCTCCACTCCCGGCTCCCGAGCACGTCGCTCGCACGATTTATGGGGCCGCGGCTGCCGCAGTGAGGGAGCCGGGGAGCCGGGCGCAGCGGCAACAAAGGCCCGGGGAGCGAGGCGGGGACGGCGGCGGCTCCGGCCCGGTGCGCGCCCCCTCCTACCTCTGCCGGCCCAGGCCCGCGCGAGAGTGGAGAGAGCTGAAAGGAGGCACCGGAACCGTCTCCCACCCCCTTCCGGAGCTGTCACCTGCGCCCAGGTGTATGCGGAGGAGGTGGCCTGATCGACACCCCCTCAAGGCGATTCCTGCATCCCTGAGGAACCAGGGCTGTCCCTGGGGTGGTGGGAAACCCGGCGCCCCTCACCTGTGAGCTCTCCTTGCCCGCTAAGCTCCAGAGGGGCAGGGGTCGGATTGTGGGTCTGGGGGCGGGGTATGAGCCAAACGGAGCAGGGGAGTCAGCCTTAGCGCCCCTCGAGATCTCGGAGTCCCGCTCCGGGGGGGAGGGGCCGCATCCCCACCCCCGTGGTTTCCAGGGAAGCGAGAGGGGGGCGTCGTTGGCTCATCCCCACCCCCAGTCTGACACTCTGGGCGCGAGGAGGGGGGAGGCGCAGAGCCCCAAACAACAAAGAGCGGAGCGGCGAGCGCAGCCCCTCCCCTGGAAGGTTGGGGGTCGTGGCTGCCCGGCCTTGCCGGTTCCCTCCCCAGGGGTCTTGCCATTTGCTCCCTAGTCGACCTCGAGCTGGAGAGCCAGAGGCAGAGCTGCTGCCACCGCCCGGGCAGGTGTGACAGTGACCCCCGCGTCCCCAGGGATCCCCCACCAACGCGCAGACACATGCGAGGCGGCCAGGGTGATGCCCACGGTGGCTCGGCGGGGAGGAGAAGACAAGGGCAGCGAGGACTGCGCGGGGGGCACCCGCCGCCGCGCCGCACACCCCGGGAAACCGCACAGCCTCCCTGACACCCGCCCAGACCGCGGCGGCGCCGACAGCCACCCAGCCAGACGCGGCTGGCCACGCGGACACCGGCGCAGCCCCCTCCCCGCCGGTGCCCGCTCCCACCCCAGACGATCGCCGACGCAGACACACAAATCACACACTCAGACACACGCGCACTGACAGCCGCGCACGCCCGCTCACACTCGGTGCCACACGCCGTCCCCATCCCGGGTATGTGTGTGCGTGTGACACGCCAACATCTCCCTGCCTCCTTCCTTCTCCCGGCTCCCATCCTAACCGAGCAGCACTCCCAGGGCCCCTCAACTCGGCGACCCGGCCCCAGCGCACTGCAGCCGGATTTCCCCACACTGCCGGGCAGCGCACTCCCAGCGTTCCTGGGAGGCGCTCCTTCAGACTCCCGGCCTCAGCTCTGGATCCCACTTTTAGAACCAAGAGTCCAGGGCAGAACCCGTAGAAACCCTCATGGCTGAAAACAGGTCATCCCCGGGCCGCTTTATGCGGCGGCCCATCCCCAGGACACTGGTGGACCCCAAACCCCAGCCTAGCCAAAGGGACTGACGATGGGGGTGGGGGGCGTGATGGGTCAGGGGAGAGCTGTTCCAGCGGCGGGGGTGGAGAGAAGCCAAGATGGGGAGGGGGCCCCAGCGCCTCCTCCGCACGGCCCGAGCGCTCCTTGCTGCACCCCAACAGCCTCGCTCAGACACCCCCGAGTTTCACAGACGCCCACAGAGTGCATTTCCCAGCCCCCCAGCCTCCAGCTCCGCTCCCCCAGGACTTCCTGAGCTCCAGCTCCCCCTCTCACGGACCCGGGACGCGCGGGCTCCCCGGCCCCCGACTCACTGCTGGTTGGAGCTGTTCCAGTACACCGCATGCCGGTTCCCCAGCGCCCCCCCGGGCCCCTGGGCCAGCAGCGGCAGCAGCGGCACGGGCACGAGCAGCAGGAGCAGCAGCAGCGGAGCCGCCGCCATCCCCGGAGCCGCCGCCGCCGCCGCCCCCCGACTGAGCCCCGAGCTCCCGGCTGCTCTGCTTCCCAGCTCCCCGCCGCCGCCGGCCCCCAGCTTCAGACCACGCCCACAGCCCGGCTGTCCGCCCTCTGGGGCGCGCCCTGAAACCACGCCCCTAGCGCGCTCCCGACAGGCCACGCCCCACTAGAGCGGGGAGCGCGCCCGCGAGGAAAGTGGGGGCTGCGCTGCCCCTAGGAGGCGGCCGATTTGCGCCTCCCGTGTCTCTAGGTTGTTTGCTTCAGCTCGCCTATTACCCCGGAGGCTAGAGATCCAGGAGAAGGCGGTGGGAGCCCAAGACTGGATGTGGGCCCATTCATTTCTGGGACAGGGCAAAGGAGGAGTCAGAGGAGGACCAGACCTCTCCTGAACACGCTGGCCCTGTCTCCCAAGTGCCTGATGAATCCGAGGGCACAGAAGGCTAGTGGAGAAGGCTTTAGCTGGCACCAATGACCTGAAGCCCCCGGCTGTGGCTCAAATCCTGTTTTTCTTGGAGGTGGAGTGGAGACTCTCAGTTCCCTGAGAATGTCAGTACTGTGTGCAGGAAGGACATTTGGTTATCCAGGGCCCCAAGCAGAAGGGGTGCATTGAAGAGCCAGCTGGGGCCCAGTACACTTCCCAAGATTGTCCACCTACAAAAGGCTCCTAACTTCCTCTGTCGGGCTCCTCCTGGTAACACCACTGCTGTTCCCAGGCATTCTCTGTGGAGTGCCTCCTACTCCCAAAGACCAAGAAGGCCCAGTGCAGGAACCTTGTGTTCCAGCTGTGCCGCAGTCATTGTTCTCTGGGGACAGCCAGCACCCCACACACACTCAGAAAAAGGCAAACACCCAGAGGCAGAGAACGCGGGAACACTGGCACCTGTCACACAGCCCGGGACACACACAGGTAAAGGTGGTAAAGGTACTTGCAGACAATTAGAGATCAGTAGGAACAAAGACCCATAGAGACACTGATGTAGACACACACCAGCTGCGCGCGCGCACACACACACACACACACACACACACACACACACAGTGACTCACACTGTACACCTGCATGCACCTTCTGACACACTATTCACACTTCCTTTCCTAGGAAGTGGGAATTCCAGGAAGGGTTCTGAACCCAGAACTAAGTAGGTATTGCTTCTTAGGGTGGTTTCTCCTTTGGAGAGGCCCAAACTTAAGAGTGACCAGGCAGAATCAGGCCTGCCTGGGTCTCCTCACCCACACCAACCACTTGTGCCCCCAGAGGCAGGCATGCCACATTTGCTGCTGTGCTGCCCTGGAGCCCCAGCACTTGGCACTCTCCATCTGCTTAGCAGAAAAGGGCCCAGGGTCACCCGTTGGCCTTGGGTGCTGGGCTTGGGAGAAAGGTAGAGTCATCCAGAATAGGCTTTGCGCTGAGCTGCTGCCAGGCAAGAGCAGGTTCTGTCCTCTCTGGGCTCCTCCCTACCCCAGGAGATCTCACCTCTCTTCTCAGGAGCCAGAAAGTAAATTAGGTCCCTTGGGAATGGGGGTAGGGACTTGGCAAACAGCTCCCCTTGCCCCCAGATTCCTCATCCCCAGGGAGATTGGTTTCACCCAAATGATGCTTACTGCCTACTTCAGGGACCACGAATACCAGGTCTGTCCCTTCCTACCCACATACCCTGCTACCCAAAGCTTGTCTCTTTAAGGCTCACAGTTGGCAAGGAAACTGCATATTTATATTAGGTGAGGGCTTGAATGTTTGGTCCAGAATTTTAGATATCAGCCTTGAAACTTTCTACCCCTGCCTATAGAGTCTGAGTCCAAAAAGAAGAATCAGTTCTGTTGAGCAATATGAGTCTCTTTCTGTAGAGCCCTGATACACTTCTTTTTGTTGTTTTTGGTTTTATAAAACAGGGTCTCACTGTGTAGTCCAGCTGGGCTTGAACTCACTATGTAGCCAGGGCTGGCCTCAAACTTGCAGTGATCCTCCTGCCTCAGCCTCCCAAGTGCTGGGATTACAGGTGTGTGCCAGCATGCCCAGCCCAGACACACCTCTCTAGAACTGAGCCCTCCTGAGCCTTCCCCCCCGAATCTGGAGCTCTACCCCTAGAATATGAGCTGCTCTCTACAGGATCTTAGTCTAGTGTTTAAATTGCGAGGCCCAGGCCTGTCTGGATGGGATCTGGTTGGTGCTATCTAGGCTCTGCTCACCGTGCTGCTGGCTGATTTGGGCCTTTGTGTGGCTTTAGAAAGCACCCCTCTGTGTGCCTCAGTCCCTAGGGTTCATCTCTTGGCAAGCAGGGCCTTTGTGCAGAAACAAAGGTGCTGCTTCCTTCAGTGGGAGTGTCCTGGGTCTTCCCATCTTCGTGAGGGAATTTGGGCTGATGTCAGCCTCTTGTTGTGTGGCCCCTTTGTGCTGTGTACAAACTGCACAATGGTATGTGGCAATAATGTCTACACAGCATTCACCTCCAGCACCATTGCTCACACGGGTCTACAGACCTCTCCCCAGGGGACCCAGGCCTCTGTACGGCTTAGGTCTCTGCATATGATTCAAGCCACTACCCATCTGAAGGCCCAGGCATTTCTCTGTGGCATTGGGGTTCTACAAAGACCTAGGACTTTGTCAATCGTGTCTAGGCCTTTGCTTGTACCTGGGCCTCAAACCATTCATGACTATGACCTACGGTAGGACGTGGATTTGCACTGTGATCCAGCCCGTATATGTGCCTGTACACACAGACATGCACACACAGTCACTCAATATAACATGTATCTGAAACAGTGAGTTTCGTGAAGCATCGCTTACCTTTATTACAGAGAACACACTCATATTTTTCTTCTGTTCTGTTTTTACATTAAAAGAATGCTAGAAGTAAAGGCGCACTCCTGTAATCCCAGCACTTGGGAGGCTGAGGCAGGAGAATCGTTAAGAGTTTGAGACCAAGGGCTGGTGAGATAGCTCAGTGAACTAAGTGCTTGCTTAGGTAAGTGCAGGGGCCAGGGTTTGATACTTGGGGTGCACTGAGCTACAGATGGAGTCTGGATGTGGTGGCACACACACTGTAATCCCACCACTAGGGAGTCAGGAAACAGGAGGATTACGAGGCTGAGCTGCATAGTGAGACCCTGCGCGCACACACACACACACGCGGAGTTTGAGACCAGCCCGGACTACAAAGTGAGACCCTATCTCAAAAAGACAATAAAATAAAATAAAAAGAGGAAGAAAAACTGGTTGATGTCTATCCAATTGACTTGACTTTCCCTCCCCTAGCAGGCCTCAACTAGCCTATGACACCTGGTGCAGAAGGGTTGGCCTGGGTCTGCTGTTGGCGGTAAGGGCCACTGTCCAGGTCGGAGTCCTCTCCATGGGGCTGGTCTGCTCTCAGCGTCTCAGGCCTCCTTTCTCTATCGGCAGGCCCTGCCCCGAGCTTACAGAGCGCTGGCTGCCATGATAGCTCTGGGAGTGCTGAGCTCAGGCCCCCTGGGAGCTCACTTGCCCCTCTCCAGGGCCCAAGGGGACAGGGAGCTGAGCAGGACTGGGGCAGAGGGAGCTCTCAGGCTGTGTGGCCCAAGGGGGCTCCTGGGACAGCGGGTGGCAACCACAAAGCTGAGCTGTGTTCAATAAATCACGGAGGCTAGGGCCTGGGGGAGGGGGAGGCTAGAAGGGAAGAAGGGGCCATGGATAAATTATTCATTAAACAAATAAACAAGGAGCCTGTGAGATGGAAGATCAGGCCTTGTGTGAGCAGGAGAGGCAACTGCCAGCTCTAGACATGAAATATTCACAGGTTCTGCACCTCACACAGGGCCCATGTGTGTGCCCCAGCCCAGGCAGGCCCTTGGTGCCCTCCTAACATGGGAATCTGGGTACCAACAGAGAGGGCAATGCATGTGCCTTCCGGCTTCCAGGGGTGTCCGCTTTGCTCTGTGGTGCACTGACCTCCCTGAGCTGATGCTGAACCACACACATGACGATGCAGGGGGTGCAGTGTAGTGAAGAATGGTCCAGGACACACGTGACTAGGTTGTGGGGCTTGGCAGGAGAAGCCAGGGTATAGTAAGTAGGATCCGGGCTGGAGAGATGGCTCAGTGGTCTAAAGCACCTACTTAGAGCAGGCTTAGCAGAGCACAGGGACCGCGGTTCAATCCCCCAGCACCACATGCCAGCCAGCCCCGCCCCCTGGTGGGCTGAGCTGGCCACACACACACACACACACACACACACACACAATAAATAAATGCTAAAAATAAATAAACAGCAGAATATATTTAAAAAAAAAAAAAAAAAGTAAGTAGGATCCGAGCCCTGCCCTGATTCCTCTATGGAATCCAGCAAGCAAGGGACCTGGAGGAGTATGGGAGTCCTCTGAACTGGCTCAGAGAAAAGCTGCGAGGGAGGCAGTACAGCTTCACAGCACAGGCTTGGGCTGGAGCTACAGTGCCACCACTCATTAAATACTTTTTTTTTTTTTTTTGGCGGAACCAGGGATTGAACTCAGGCCCTTGTGCTTGCCAGGAAAGCACTTATTCCACTGAGCCATGTCCCCAGCCCTCACTGAATTTTCTTCACTAACTTCTTTGCCTCCTCACCTGTGCTTGGGGATAACAGTACCCCACCTCCTTGAGGAGTGCATTGTTGCGAGGAGTAAGCTCTACAGTGTCTGAAGATGTAGCTCAGTGGTAGAGTGCTTTGCACTTGTGAGGCCCTGGATTCCATCCCCAGCACTGAGGAAAGAAACCCACAATGTGTGGGGAGCACCTCAGGCAGGGTTTCGGGCCCAAGAGCTGGCTGATGAATGCCCTGTTCAGGATCATCATCATTAGGAGATTATCTCTCAAGCACTGGCCAGAGACAAGTCCAAGTCCCTTCTGTAACTGGTTCCAACACTGACAGAGAGAGGGCTGACCAGGGTTTGGAGAGCAGGAAAAGATTAGATGGACTGAGAGGAAAGGGGAAATTTATCTTTTAAAAAGATCCTGCTCTGGGTGATGGCCCACACCTGTAATCCCAGCATTTGAGAGGTTGAGACAGGAGGATTACCATGAGTTCGAGGCCAGCCTGGGCTAC